CTTGCCATAGTACTGGAATCCCCGTCAATTTCACTGTCGCTTGTTAGGATCTTGCTACCACACGAGCACTCATCCTCTGAGTCTGGTCCCCACTCGTCATCTTCACTGGCGTCTTTTCTTCTGCCGCTAGTCACTGTGTTCTTCGTCGCGAGCTACTACAGTGTCATTCTCTGGGGCTGTGGCGGTGTATGCGATTGTCACTGATTCACTTTAGAGATTTTACAAAATCCCCTCTCATTTACTGTTGATCCAACGTAACGTAACGTATGTAATTGTCGGTGCTGTCTTGTAGGCTCAAAATTCACTGATACCAAGCTTTTGAGTACTGCTTCCGGAAGAGCTGGCCCAAAGCTTCTGTTTGTAATAATGCCCCAGGAAATTGTTTGAGTCGGGTGGGTCCGTACATGTGTCCTACCACAGCGTATGTTAGTAATCTGAGAGCAAACGACGGAGATCCCACATTCTGCTTCTGGCACCGACAATTCGGTTATTCACACCCACCACAGAGCGACTGAAGAATAGAGCTCATATTGCACTTCACAAAGCACAAAACCTCACAATAGCAATTGAGCAAAACTGCGAAGCACCTTGCGGTTACTTCACTCGAATGCAGAGGGGTTGTATCCTTAACATCACCTGAGTGTCGATATCACGCGTGACCCCAGACGACCGAAGCGAAAACAGCGCTCATTAAATCGCACACATTTACACAGAGCTAGCTGTCGCCGGTATCGTCGCATTGGTAACCTGCGGGAAGATCGGAGTAAATCGCACTTGGAGATGCTACTGCTTTACCGAGAATATAGCACATACAACCTGGTTATTAGCACACATGTGGATGTTGAAATCAGACTTATGGCGTCGTCTGAAGCGAGCCAGCGTAACAGCCTTTAGTCTTTTAGCTTGCATTATCACTTCAAACCATCGTAAATCGTCGAATATTACAGTGCCATCATATCCCGATACAATGCGTGCCAATGCAGCAGCTCGTCGACAGAAAGGAATGACTGATCTAATATATACAATGCTGTGCCGAAGAGCTTTTGTAGCTTCGTTATTGTCGTCCAAACGCGTACTCGCATATTTGAATATGTTGAAGTGCTTTTAATACCTTATTGCGCGAATTTGAGACGCATTTACCTGGAATATGA